CACTTAAATACACACGCATTCATACATACATGTATATATGGGACTTTGAAGGCATGCAGGGCTAGTGTTGGTATTGTTTACTATTTATTTTCAAAAGTAAAATAACGTGTTTATTTTTATTCTTAAAAGATGGTTTAAGTATTAACCTTGACAATAACAATACTAAATTATCTGGCAAACGTCTTTAAACAAATAATAACTTATTTTTATAGCTTACTAGTGTCCCTGTTGCTCGAATTCGAGCAATTGCTAAGTAAATATTTGTAGCAAACTGTTGTAATACTATATTAGCAAACTTATTGACTGTTTAGGGTTAACCTATGCTCTTCTTCTCACTTTTGATTTCTGACAACAGCTGGAGTTTCATAACAATTTTTGTTTCCAATGTTAATCTTATGGAGAAATACGAAACTTTAAAGGGCTCCAGGGCCTCACTCTCTCATTATTTCCCTAAAAAGAAAGTTTCCTGCACAACTTCATGCTACGCTCTTTCCAATGACACCAAAAAACATGACAATCGGTTCAGTAGTTTCGGAGGAGTAATTGTCACAAAAATCCTGCTTGCGTATTAAATAAGTACGAGAGCACGCCCCGTGGTCGAAAAATCGACCAAAAGTATGTTTTGTACAAACTTCTCTATTTTCACCCCACACTGTAAATAAAACATGTGATTGGAATGTCTTCCATTTGTTTTGATTTTCTGTTTATATTGTGTTGTTATTTCTTCATCACCATAGCAACTCATAAGACCCATGTTAATTTTTTTAAATTTCAAATTCATTTTTTGTGCTTATTTTTGAGCCTATTTTAATTTATAAAGGGATTCTGCACACCTACAGGAAAATAGCATTCTAACGGTATGCGTAGATTTTCCCTACGATACACACGAGCTCAGAAAAAAGGTTTTAAAGAAACATGCTTGCCTATTAATATATAGATAGATAGATGACAATTTGTGTTTACTCCGTAAGAGAATCCAGAATAAATCATTTGAAAAATGAAAAGATAATGAATTTGTCGTGGTTTATTTGAGCTGAACTATTAAGTTGTAATAGTGCACTAGTAACCAACGCTAAATATTTGAAGTTGTTTCCGGTTGTTGTAACAAACAGGTAGTTTCAAATTTAATTAAATTGAAATTGTAACGTTAAATTATATTTAGTTTTCCCCACAACTAGCGAATGTCTGCTGTAACCTAATTCAAGTGAAATTTAATTTTTTCCTTACAAAGAATGTGTTTTATCAAAAAATGTAAAATGTTCAACTGTATATCAAACATTTGCGTCTAATCAAGTTTTGTTGGAGATTCAATTTGTGTACCTAAGTAAAAGGTTTTGTTGTAACAATTTTAAGTCATGTTTGAAAATACTTATTGTTCTGCAAACTATCGCTTAATCGTTGAAGATATGAGAATTGACTTATACGACATAGTTTTTTTGTCCATATATGTGTAAATAGCTGTTCTGAATTAAACTGTTTAAAAAATTGACTACTCGATTCCCGTGCGTTCGACTGACCAACATTTGTACATTAACTCCCTTTACTATTCAAATACTGTTTGCGTAACTGTGATGTATATGGGTTGCGTTCTGAATCACAAGGCACTGTAATTATAGATAGGGCTCAGATTATTAATTGACGAATATTGTGTAAATAAAGCAATTGTTTTAAATCCGCTTATTAAAAGTATGCTATCGTAAACGAATCAATTTAGCATTTAATTTGTTTAAATAATAGTGATATATTGTTACCAAATGCACAACAATTATTTTCAATAAATGTGTTTCAAGTTGGTGTCGTTTGAGTGCACAGGCGTCAACTCAATGTTTCACCCGTATTTAATGGTAGATTGTACAAATTGTAAACACTATTTTTTATAGTTGAAACAAAATATGGACAGGTCTAATTAGTTACATAATTATTTAAATTAATTATTTCATTATAATAATCTTTCCAGTAAAAGATTTATGCTCCAATAGGACTTACCAGTTTTCGGCTTCAACTAATCAACGAAAAGTCTAGTGTGGTACCGGTACCGAGAGATAAATTATGCCCCTTACCTATAAAAATAATCGTATTTTGCATGATAAATGTTTTAAAAAACTGGAGTAGGATCTTAAATATTCCTTTTTTAATTGCATACCTTATTCAAGTTGTTATTAGTTCTGCGATGAAATTTCTACGGTATTTAATAGAATTATATTTGTATTGTAATAAAACATGTCTCTGTAGTATATTTCTTTAACAATTAAATGTAATTAACCAAACTCAGCAAGGATTAGTCACCCGTTACTATATTTTAGTTTAATATTCATTTATTTTTGTTTAAGGTATATTATTTTCTACAATTTAAAAACATTTATTAGAAGTCTAATTGTCTAAATGCAAATTTACTTGCCCTTATTGTCCTGCCATGTAGGTATAAAATAAAAAAATGAAAGTATTGTAGAAGAGGGTTCGTGTAAAGGTAAATTTAATGAAGAATACGCAGCCCAGTAATTTGTTGATATTGTAAAGAGTGTGATATTTCGTTATAAGTCTCTTTGAACTGTGAAGGATCCAAACAGTAAACAGAAAAATAAGTGTTACACAGGAATTAGTACTGGAAGGTGCTGAAGACTGTACAGTATGTAGAATCATTTGTGTTCGATAACTAAAGTGAACCTTCACAAAACTACAGTAACGGTAGGCCTACAGTGGTAGACTGTGGAAGTATAGTAAAGCTGTAGTTAATTTTCCACAACAAATAAACTTACAAATGTTACCTACAATTAATGTGGATCTTCGGTTTCTAATGACTCAATTTTTTACTTTTATGCCCATAACATTTATTGTACTCCCATTGATTATGGTTGCTAACTATCGCTATATCGTCATTGGCCGCATGAAAGGTAATACGATAGACGAAATATGAAATATACTTACTTTTGTGACAACTTATTTGCTATAGAACTTTCAATTGCTATATTAATTACTAGCAGAGTACCCGTCCTTCGTATACGGGGTTGGCATATAAGTAAAAAAATGCTTATTGCAGTTATATTGAACTCAAACTTGGAACTTGCAATGGGGGAGGACACATGTTGATAAAATTTGCTTCTATAAATTTACAGTATACTATAGTATTACACATCTACCATAGCCATAATATTCCACCACTTCATCTGAACAATAGAGAAAAACAAATGATTAAAAGTGCATAAAATATAAAAAATTATTCATGAAATTAAAAACATGAACACAACTGTAAACAATCATACCTTGACAGTTCTCATGGCATACAACAGTTTGTTGTTGCTGCTTACTTATAATTAGCTGTTTTCATAAATGCAAAAAAATGTAGTTTTGCACCCTGTTGGTAAATCTTATAACTTTTAATGCTTTTACATAGAACCAACTTTTTTATTTGAAACAGCTGACTAAATTCTTTAATTCCCTTTATATGAATACTCATCATAAGGTTAACATGGGAAACTACAGAGCCACTGGGGTGGAGCCCGAAAGGATTTTTGAGATAAGAATATGCCTATATGTTAATTGGGAATGTGAGCTACCATCATGCCAAATTTCAGCCGGATCCGTCCAGTAGTTTATGCGTGATTGAACTTCAAACAAACAAACACACAAACTTTCACATTTATAATGTTAGTAAGATTTTTGACCCAGTTATAACTAACTGTTAACAATTGTAATGGATTATTGTTGTGATGGTTGTGGTTACTGTACTAGGATACTAGTAACACTTTTATCACCTTACAAGAAGTGATACTCTCACAGGATTTTTATCCCTCCTTGTTGTTTAAACTCGTTGTTGAGTTATAAGCTCACTAATGACAGCATTAATTATGATACCAAAGTAATTACATTAGTTTCGAAATGGGTTGTGCAAACGATTTTCATTTTTGCGCCACTATTTCTAAAGGAATTGAGATTTTTTCCTTAGGGATGTAGCATACGGTATTATAATAATGCAAAGTAAAACCCCCAGATTTAATTAATGTTCTTGGCATTTTGTTATAATGATATGATCAAATATATTTCTGCTACTGTAATTTTCCGATCTAAATACAAAGTTCAGTGCTCCATTTCGTTCAACAAATATGGCCACTGTTAAGCCATACGGCCAATGATCAATTGTTAAATGTGCAAATTAGTTCTGTAGTGAAATAATTACTTCACGGAGGTATTGGTAGTCTTCAAACACGTTTGTAGGCAAGAAATAAATGATTTAGAATATTTTAAAGGAAAATCTTTGAACTCTTATTTGATATTGTTGTGCAAGCAAGCAGGCAAGCAAGCAAGCACACATAAAAGCAGACTTTACTCGTATATACGAAGAATGTAATAAAAGAGACAGTTGGTTTTTGTTAATATAAAAAAATTGAACAAAATATTTGATAATCTGTTTTGGCAATCGTATGAGTACGTAAGTTTGGTAGAATTCATGAGTATATCAAATTGTAATGAAATCCCACTACAGTTGGAAAAAAATTACAACAGTTTTGTAGTGGATGGTGACAGCAAAACACATAGAGAATTTGTGTTTTGCTGTCAACAACTACAATAATATTTTTGTACAATAGAAGTTGTTTAATGTTTTGTTTGTGCTGGGTATACTCACCAATAGATACATATACCTAGCTGGATATGTATCTAGCCTAGATGGTGTTATTAGTTTTTATTACATTCAACGATAACCAGGTGGTTTAGAGCCAAACACCTTATTAACAATATACGGAAATTTGTTAACAAGAATGCTTATAATATTGAAGCATATCCATAACCTGGTAAATTTAATCAAGGTGTAATATTAGCAATCGATAAAAAAAAACTATTTTTGGAGAGTGTTGGAGAAATTTAGACAAGGTGATATTGTTTTTGTGTTATTATATAGTATGTTATGAATGTTGTACATCGAAGCATAACATTACATTAGATCTGCATAAAATTAGACTGTTCTGGACTTATTAATTAAACTGAACCAGAACGGCCTGAATCAGCCTAGGTGTACCAAATAATGATGTCGGTAGTGCAGATCAAACAGTTGGTTCTCGCTGTGGTTTGTGCGTTATGATTTGACGAATGACGACCCCTAACAAGATTTCCTCATGTACTAAGGTGAGTTGCTAACTTGTCACGTTTTGTGTACCGTAATGTTTTTATTCGCAATTGAAATTCATTTTGAGTATTAGCTGTGTTGTGGAGTGCGCTGTAGTGTTTGTTATACGTTATTGTTGGACAACTAGTAGTGTATATTTAATTTAAGTTAGGTTTACATGTGCAATACAAACTTAGTGCAATCTACCGCATGAACAATGGATATTGTGTCAGAAGTAGTAGGTCTTAGACAAAACAGCACGTACTACCATGTTAATGATGGTTACTATTTTCTATACAGTGAAACGAACAGAAACACTGTATATTTAAAATGCATAGAGCAGAGTAGGTCGCGCTGCATGGCTAGGGCAACAATGCCGCTAACACCTGAATTGCGAACAAGTCAATCATTTATTGTTACTCGAGCACACAATCACGAACCGGACAATACATTGTTGCAGGTGATCCAATTAAGGACAAGGATCCTACAACGATGTCAAGAGGAGACATTGGATCATCGAACAATATTTGACGAGGAGTGTAGGAGGTAGGCATAATGGTTGCTATTATTTACAAATTCTTCTAATATTAAGTTTTTTGATATGAAAAGTATATAAACTTTGCAAGCCGTCATGGCAGAGCTTAAGGGTGTTTGGTCGTTAGGCTAGTCTGCCGGTGCTCGAAGCTATGACGGTGCACGGAATCACAGAAAACATACTACAGGTTATAGTAGTTTTTTTTCTGTGACGGAATGTAGACGCTCTCAACGTGTAGTGCGCCGCTAGCGCAATGCATCAAAGGTACGATATCACATCCCAAACGATTTAACATACCAATTTTGTTTGTATGCCAACTTATAGATGACTTTCACGCAAATACAAACAGTTATTTGTAAACTTTTAAAATCCTAAATATTTTCAAATTTAAAAAAATCAAAATTTCTTAAAAAAGTTTAAAATATTACAATTAAAAATAGCAAGTGATTTTTGTTTTGATTTTGCACACCTTTATTCCAATTTCAGTTAGAATCGCATAACCCATATCTCCTGTGAATTGGTACCAAATAATGACAAACTACTTTCAAGCTCATCTCCCTTAATTAATAATATAAGAAGTTATTTCTTATTTGTATTTCTAATTTTTAGAACAACTGAACAATAACAAAAAATCAAATATCAAATTTTGACCAAACACCCTTAACAAAGATAATGAAAAAATCACAGCGTCCCTTAAGCCTGTGGGGTATTACCTTTATTTTTTGCAAAAGAAGCTGAATTGTTCAATTTATTGTCATGTTATTGACGAATTCAAATTGTTTCACAAACAGAATAGCAGTTCCTTTCATCGAAGTCATTGGCTTTTTCAGTTAACCATTAAAACAGCGTACATTATTAACATTATTATGAGCGTTCACATTTTGCCAGACATTATTTTTTCTACAAACAATGTAATCTAGCCTACCCAAATAATAATATTCCTTTACCCATTTGCGAAACTTGAATTTGTTTACTGCGCTTGAACAACGTCATACAACAAACCAATGTTATTTCATGTAGGGTGTTATGGAGTGATCTGCCATTACATAAGCTAGAGTTTTCATCAGCCTCGAGGTAGTTGCGCCGTTGCGCCATTTTGCGGTAAGGTGGTGGTGTGAGGGATAATGCTGGGCGGGCTCATAAAACCGCCATTTTGCAAACACATTCAACACACTACAGTGCAGTTCGGCCAATCAGAACTAATTGGGACCGAACCCCGTTCAGGTTAGCTGATTGTTCCGATTAGCCGAAATAACGGAGATAATCAAGAAGGAAGCAATTTTATGGGGTCGTAGTGTTGTAATATGAACGAGCAATACTCAAAAACCAATATTAATACAGTAATCCATTTACTACAACAAAATTAAAAACCAATAGTGAAATAAGCGCATTAGTTAATCAACTAAGCGTAGAGCGATATGAACGGGTGGGCAGACGTGTATGTTGTGACGATAAATGCGCGCGGACTGTACGTCTGCACGCACTGCTTACCGAGACTGTACAGTAGCCTAGCCTACACGTCTGCCCCCCTACTCTCGCCAATACCCCTAGCTTAATTCACCGATTCACATGATTAAGGATTTTCCTTGATGGCGGGAAATGTTCATGATGGTGCGATGATTATGAAGGATGTTTACGCTTTCGTCGCGATCGTGGGAGATATTTATAATTTGTCATCTATTTCGGTAATTTGTCAACTATGTTGGCAAAGGATTAATAGCAGAAATCAATTATAATGTTGAAACGCGCGCACACACGTGGTACCATTTTGAAGTTTTAAATTAACAAAAATCTGTTACTATTGTACCGTATAGAAAACTAAATTAAATTTGATACAGAAAACTAAATTAAATTTGATAAAGAAAATTAGGTTGATTTTGATTAATTGAAAGATAATCTTATACCGACTTACACAAAAAGGATGCCACGTAAACTGTGAATTCAATCAGTCCTTCTGCCACCTCCTCCTTTACCAACAAAACAAACCAAACCCCGAAAGAAAGTGCTACAAAAAAAGATTGATATAAAGTTCCTCTTCCTCTTTTCCTGTGTCTAGATTGCGCACAATAATGTGCGCCAAGTTTAATAGTAAAACTTAACTCCTAAGTTAAGACATGCAATATGAATTTAAATTAATATACTATCATCAAAGCTGCATGTTGATACTATACAGTTCATTTTTTTTGTAATGTATTGCTGAAACGTAACACCATAGACAAAAAGAATTAAATATAGACCGTCAGCCGTGCTGCGGTTACCATAGGTTCTGGCGCACACCACTGGGAGCGCCATTAGTGGTGTGCGCCAGAACCGATGGTAACCATGTTAACCGCAGCACGGCTGACAGTCTATATTTAATTATCTTTGTCTATGGTAACACTAAGTTCGTGTTTGAAGGTATCCTTTGGAAGTGGCCTCTCGACTGTCATTTAATGCAATCAAGTCATCAATGTATCGACACGCACGGACGGGGATGGACGTCATTCCTCAAACTCTGGACATCCTTGCCGCAAACCTGGCCGAGGAAAGGAACAGGCGCTTCGCCCAAGCCATCGGAGGCGGAGATTTTTTCCTCGGGACCGTACGGCATGAGGAACACGGGACATCCGTAATATTTGGTTCCCCAAAGTTGATCCGAGAAACAAGAAACGTCTCGGAAATACACTTAGACGGGACTTTTAAAGTCCGCCCCAATGTTCCGCCATCACGACAGCTTCTCACTGTCATGGCTATGATGTTCAATCGGGTAAGTATTAATTATAGTACAATGAAATGTTAAAATTTTAATTTATATTTATAATGTAATTCAACTAAAAATATTCACGCTTTTACGTGAATGTAATTGCAATACGCGTGGTATTATCCCAGACTTGATGGTAATAGGCCTAACCCTAACCCAAAATAAATTCCAATTTATTTATTCCATTTAAGATTTTTGTTGGTTTAATAATAACTTGCATATTAAATTCCCTACTATAGGAAATAGTAGATTAAATATTATCCCAAATTAGGCCGATATACAACACGAATACTATCAGGCTAGGTTGTTTATCATCGACTCCTACCATGTAGACATGTCTAGCCAAAAGTCCCCACCCCTAGCCCTCTTGTGTTTTCCTCCATTCATTCACCCCAAAAAATTGTGTAGGGCTGTAGGGAAAAGTTTTCCCTACAACCCAACAAAATTTTTTGGGGTGAATAAATGCAGTACTTTGCAAAACCGCTTATATTTAAGCAACTAGTTGTGATAGACTTTACATCTTGCTGTTTAAATTGTTTATCTTACTGTTGAAAACGGCAAATTCCCAATTTTTTTATTGGCTGTATTCATACACCGGGGAAATGTACATGTTTGTGCAAAGTTGTTAAATGTATGTAAATATTAGTCCTACCGTAAAAAGTCGAACGCAGCGTTGAAAATACGTTAATAAGCATGTTTGCTGCAAAATTACATCACTTACATTGTGAACATATATGTATTTCATTTAACAGGCATATCCCGTGTTTTTTGTGCTGATGGAGCAAAAAACCAAAGGTGCGTACGACCAAGTGTTACAGAAGCTCGTTGAATTGGCGCCGGAACTACACCCTCAAGTGATCGTTTCTGACTTTGAAACTGCATTGCAGACGGCCTTGAGGGAAAGGTTCGCCGACGCCCATATCCTCGGCTGTTTTTTCCACTCGTCAACAGTAAGCACTAACCAGTATAAATATGTAAGATAATTGTACATATTTGACATAACAGTATGTAACACGTGGAAGTGCAAAATAAGAATAGTGGAGGGTACGTTGGGATATAAATGTACTTATTACGAAATGTATATCAATACAAATGAAGCAATAATATAAACAGTTATAAATGTCATGTTAAATAGTCAAGGAAATTGTGTGCTGATATTGAATTTTATTTTGGTAATCAGTTTTCATTTATGTACTCGTATATTGTATAATTCCTTGCTTAACCTGCAATTTAAGACTCGGTTCGGATCCACAATCAATTTTGGTCGTACTACATATTTTCAATCCAGTACATAAGAAACCTGGTTATTCCCAAGTGCATGGCCATACACAAAAACTATATGGTTACAATGGTTTTATTCAGGCAATGTGGAGGAAGGCTCGATCTTTAGGCTTGGCAAGAGCCCTGAACATCAATCCTGCCGTTAAACGTGCTGTGAAAATGACAATGGCATTGGCATTGTTACCGGAAACCCAGATTGAAGAAGGTTTCCGGTACATTGTCACGTATGTACAGGCCAACGGATTGGAACCGATCCTCAACCAGTACATGGCGTACGTGCGACGAACTTGGATTCAAGGTGACGTTGAATACTCAATAACAGTAAAATAATTATTAAGATCACAAGCAGTATACTTTATACATCTGGTGGGTATAGTACTAACTTAAATATATTTTGCATTTTGTACTTATAATTAAGATGACTAGCAAATCTATGTATACCAATTTGTTTCTTTAACCCTCCAAGTGTCCATAGTTTTTGGTCGTAATGTTCGCCCATTTATTGCGTAATCGCAGGGTTTATTAAAATGTATCTTAGAAACTAAAAAAAAATGTAAAGTATACTGGTTTAAATATAATTTTGTTTGTAAAATTATGGGCTTCAATGTGACATATAAAACACTACAAAAAAAATGTTAAACAATTTTTGTGGGGTTAACATTTCTCAAAAATTATAAAATAAATGAAAAAAATTGTGTTAAGCTTTAACAATTTACATTCTAAATACCTGTGTGTAAATGAAATCTATGCATTCAAATAACACGACACACTTTCACCAGTCTTAGCTGATAATACCACAACAAATTTTCATTATTTGGCTTCACTATACCAAAACATATCACCATTTGGTGAATAAATTACATTAAACAACAGTTGTAGAATAATTCTTGCCGACTTTTTTAATGGTAGGGTATCTACCTACGTTATTGGACTCTATTAATAGTGTAATTTGTTTAGGTGTTGGTGGACAACACCTCTCTGTTTTTGGTCAACCACGGAGGACCAATAACGACCAGGAAAGCTTCCACAACCAATTGCTGCAAAGGTTCAGCCATGTTCACCAGAACGTGTGGAGATTTCTTGGTAAGAAATTCTAGCATGTTTGATGATAATAGAGTTCCTATTTCACTAATAGTTTTGTATGTGTTTTATTATATCGACAGATAATCTCTAATTACAGTTTAAGACAGTATTGATAACACATACTACTACACAAATGTAGTTTAAAACTTGTAATGTTTAACATTCACTAAATATCAGTAAATATACAATCTGTAATTGGTTACTAGTTTTGTTGAATGATTACCAACATACTTGTACTTTCTATGTGTATATTATTAATTAAAGTAACTACGTCTACAGCAGCCAATAACAAATCATATCTTACGTTTGTGCAATGTTTTAAGAACGGATTTGAAAATTTTCAGAAGAACTAAGAAACATTGAACACGCATATGTCCAACAATACGCAACTTATGAGAATGGAGTTGCGAATGACGCTGTGCCAGCTCCATCTTATTTGGCCAACAACCGCAGGATTCAGGATGCTACATCGTTGTTACTTGCCAGACGATATAATGCAGGTGAATTCCTCCGGAGAGTGAGCAATGTTGTACCCACTCCGAGGAACAACAATTTGGCTGTTGAGGATGAAGAAGAGGAGGTAGCTGCACCACCAAATGAGGGGTTACCGCCACTTCCTGTCGCACTGCCACCAGGGATGCGGCAGATCGAGAACATGCATGAGATGCCAATCGACAATGGTAATTACATTAGAACCCCGTGCGTCATGGCCTAGGCACCAAATTTTTTTATTCCCTAATAGTGTTACTGGTAATATGCGTACATGCCAAAAAGAACTATTATTAACTGTCATACTAATGTTTTGAATGTAAATAAAAATATTTTATAATTTCAATTTTTTTAGAGCTATGTAAGGTTGATTTACAGACACAAGCAACAATAATCTTAAGAAAACATTTCTCTCAAAGGCTGTTAAGACTGACCAGTGACCAAGCCCTGTGGATTATTGGAATAGATTCATCTTAGTTGGCCGATTTGAGATATACATATTAAATGTTATACATTCGGTATAGAGTTAACTTATATGTAATTGTCTTTTTCATTTTTTCATATACAGAAGACGAAGACGACTTGCACATCATTGTTCAGGCTCCGGTCAGGAGAGGAGGCCGCGGGCGTGGACGCGGAGGAGGCCGCGGGCGTGGACGCGAAGGAGGCCGTGGGAGAGTACAAGGTAGTTATTTCTACTTTTATTGCTAGACTAGAAAGCACTAGACAAAGTAACAAAATAATTATGAAAAATTTTCAAAATCACAAAACAAAATGGTGGCCATTTACAATTTTTTTTCTAAAATTACGTAAAACACGACAATTTTACAATCGTATTATAATTATAAGTGGTTTTACGTAATTATATTACAAATATATTGTCACCTTATTTCTTGAGATTGGACGAATATTAACAGAATGGGAGTGTTGCTGAAGGTCTAAGTCCCGGAAGGTCCAATTAGACCTTCGACACACATTTTGCAGTTTGTACTTGTTGCTGAGGGTCTAATCTGGTAGTATGTCGAAGGTCTAAGTCCCGGAAGGTCTAAGAGTACAGTCAATGCAAAAAAACTCATCCACTGATACTGTTTTAGACCTTGCGGGATTAGACCTTGGGTACACAATGTACATTTTGTAAATAAATTATTATACAATGAGAGTTGCTAAAGGTCTAATTCACTGAAGGTCTAGGGGTTCACGCAATACTAAATTGGCGGAAATCACAGAGGATTGTGCACGTGAAGTCAGAGAAAACACCCCCGTAGCAATAGCTGCAACAGACTTTTGCGTGATTACGTCATCGCGCATCCCGCATCCCGCTGTGACGCTGCGTGATTCAAAGAAACCAAGCCTTAAGGCCGGTTCCGAGGCGATCGATGTGATTTTCCACCGTGGGACCGAGGTCCCCGCTTGTTTCGAGGTCCAGGTGGGGGACCTCGGAACCAAATACAACCGAAAACGTGTTCGTTGCCAGAGAATAATTTTAATATCAATATTAAGTGATTTTTAGCGAGACCTTGGAACCCTAATGGAAAGTTTAAAACTTCTTCTCGGAATTTCCGATAGGAACGTAGCGATAGTTTTTACTTGTACACATTGTGTCATGTGACATAAAATCACATTCTTCGCGGGAACCGATGTCCGTGTCCGTTTCTCTCACATATAATGTATACACTATACACCCTCTGATACTTCCTTCAACTGGAAGCAGAGGCTCCCCTTTAACCCCCACCTCCACCTCTCTCCAAGATTTCTGTCTGTCTGTCTGTCTGTCTTTCCTTTTGTCTGTAACACTCAAGATGGCATTTTACGCAATCTTCTCCGCGAAAACCAGAGTACCTATCAAGATCGAAGTCATTTTAATGTATTCACTGGATTGGCGAGAGTGTCTTTAGTGATTTAAATATAGCCTCACTACTTTATAAATAAAATTACGGACATTAAATAACTAGACATCGTCCAAATCGGAACCAGAAATTCTTTGAGTATAAAATGTTTCTTGAGTTTTGACTACCAGAAAGAAGACCTTGAATCAGTGAATCAGTGTAGAAAATTTCAGGCATACATATAATAGGTAAATATTTTTGAATTTCAATCAAATTATGTTTATATGTTTCTATTCCACGTGTAGAAGAACTAGATAACCCAGACGATCCTGGTATTCCACCAGAGGAACCTATACCTCAAATGCGTGGTCGAGGGAGAGGTGAAGGACGAGGTCATGCCAGGGGAGTGAGGATAGGCAGAGGAAGAGTTGTGGGAAGACCTCACAGGGGAGTCGGAGGTAATGATTTCATATACTCATGTGATCATTATAGCTATGATAGTGGTTTGAATACCTTATTCATGCAATCCAAATTGTTGTCTTCACAACTAGTTTCAACCTGCTGATCGAAACTTCCATGAATATACAGTAGCTTAGCTGAAAACGGGCCGTGCCTACCTTTCGAAATGGTCTATAGGTTACTGCGGCGGACGGGTGAAATGAACCTGTCGTCTCTTTACACAAACATACTTACTCAACCTGCAATTCTACACATATTTTTTATGTAAACAATCAATATCAATAATTGAGAGTTACTGAATCGTCCAAACTAGTTTTCAATATTTTTCTAGTCTATTTTAAAAAGATAAAATAAAATAAAAAGATGAAATACAATAAAGATAAAACCTCACAACATTCATATGACCCACTTTTTCAACATTTACTGACACATAACATATATATATATATACAGGGTGTTTTTTTTTTAAACTTGCATCTTTATTTATGTAAAAACCGCAATAGATAGAAATATGCAGTTGGCGGGAATCATCTATTGACGTAGGGGGCACAATTTTTTGGAATTCAACGTTACATTCACATTCCCCCCCTTTCCCCCCCTGCCCCCAACTTAATTTTTTTAAACAGCAAGGTACCCCTTGTGACATATCAAATAAAAGAGCATGAAAAAAGAAAATGTTTGATGAAAAAATATTGAAAATCGGTTCATAAATTTGTGAGATATTCCCCCCTCCCCCCCCCGGAACTTAATTTTTTTTTAAAGCAAGGTACCCCTTGTGACATATCAAATGACAGAGCATGAAAAAAGAAAATTTTTGGTGAAAAAAAATTTAAAATCGGCTCATGAATTTGTGAGATAATCCCCCCCCTTTTCCCCTACCCATAACTTGTTTTTTAATAGCAAGGTACCCGCCCTTGTGACATATCAAATGAAAAATAAATTTCACCAAACATTTTCTTTTTTCATGCTCTTTCATTTGATATGTCACAAGGGGTACCTTGCTATTAAAAAAAAAATTAAGTTCCGGGGAAGGGGGGGGGGAAAGATCTCGCAAATTTATGAACCGATTTTCAATTTTTTTTCATCAAACATTTTCTTTTTTCATGCTCTTTCATTTGATATGTCACAAGGGGTACCTTGCTATTTAAAAAAATTAAGTTGGGGGCAGGGGGGGAAAGGGGGGGAATGTGAATGTAACGTTGAATTCAAAACAATTGGGCCCCCTACGTCAATAGATGATTCCCGCAAACTGCATATTTCTATCTATTGCGGTTTTTACATAAATAAAGATGCACGTTTTTAAAAAAACACCCTGTATATACCAATCGAAATGGTAACGGACACATACACACACAGACATATGTCTGCGTGTGCATGTTTTCGTTTACGTATTTTTTTAAATTGGTATTTTGATTTACATCATTGTAATTCAAATTGTATAAATACTTCTACAGGTTTCAATAGAGGACGAGGTCGTCGAGGAGTTGGAGGTAGGCTCCCTCTGGTCCCAGCACCCGTGGCTGCACTTGTGCCTGAGCCTGTGCCTGCACTTGTGCCTGATCCTGTGCCTGCACTTGTGCCTGAGCCCGTGCCTGCACTTGTGCCTGAGCCCGTGCCTGCACCCGTGCCTGAGCCCGTGCCTGCACCCGTGCCTGAGCCCGTGCCTGCACCGGAACAAGCTAATGAAGTGGCACCCATTCCGGCTCCAGCTCCAGCTGATATACCAATTGGTATGTTGTTTTAGCGAATTTCCCATACAACGTTTAACACACAAAACAAAATACACCCAGGTTGTTTCAGCAGCAACAAAACGATACTGGGATGGAACGAGTTAATAATAAATAAAATAAAATATCGACGTTAGTTATCGTATCGAAAATAATATAATTTTTTCCAAGGTTGCTTTAGCATCAACACGATGTTACTAGGAATCGAAGCTTCGAAGGGAACCAAAAGTCACACTCAATGCTAGTTAATTAGGCCTACCGTGAGATCAGAGAAGGTTTACGGTTCCGTTATTAAGCCAGCGAGGTTACCGTGCTCGAGACGACTGCACGGTTCGGAGCCGGTGGTATTGAGTCGAATGATAATGAATGATACTACAAACCAACGCAGTGGAACTCAGTGGCCAGTGCGCATGCGCCGCTCCCTACGGCCCAGCGTTATTGGTGGAATTTTCATCCGATTTTCAATTTGAAAACTGATTTGTGAACGGGATAAGATAAAAATGGGAGGCCTTCTTCTAGGCAACCTTTCACCTAGGTACCATTTCACATAGATCAAATATCAAGCTGGTACCGACAACTCAAATCGGTCAGCTAGGGCCCGGCCCCGCCCCTCTGGGGGAAGGGCGTGGCTTCGGCGTGGACACGTGTTTCGCGGTGCGGTCGCTTACCCTCTACACTGCTAAAAGTTCCCGCGACTTCCTTGAATTACCCGAACGCATTCAATTACGATCACTTATTTTATTATGTTGTATATTCATATTGAAAATCCACAAGTCATAATAACAGTTGTAAATAATAACTATGTGAATGCTTTAGCATTAATTACCGGGGTACAGAGCCATGGCTCGGTGTTGTTTAGCGTTTGTGACACAAATTAAATGACATTCTGTACGTAGGATTGACTTATTTATACTACTAGGTGAAACCCGTCGAAATCGACCGTTACTTTCAAGGCTTACACTAATTCTTCTAACTACGGTATAAATTGAGTAAAATAATACAAACTTTGAACATTTAGCATGGTTTAATGAGTAATAAGTGTAAAAATAATGATGACTATTGCGTTAGTTACAAAATGTAGTTGATCATTCAACGAATAAAATATTTCCCATACCGTACGTCATCTCTATTTTAGGGATTTTTTTTTAAGAAGAGGGGAGAAATTGTTTAATTTCTTATATAGGGAATAAGCTACAGTATTACCGTAGTACCCATGGTAAGACCTGGACCCGGGACCGATTTACTTTTTCATATTGAGGTAAAAACAACATCTGTTCAAATTCATATATTTATATGTCTTTATTAATAGATGTGTCCGTTATCGCGATAGCTCAAGCAAAAATAATCCGATTTTAATGAAATTTGGTAGGCTACAAACGTGTAAACAAACATGTAGGCTATAACAATAATCTCAAGAAACTATGATGATCTGTCTTGAATAATATAGGCAAAAGTTGTCAAAAAGGCAGTCACAACCCGTACATTAGAGATAAGATAATTCAATAAGAAATAAATTTTTAAGAGTTATTGTGATAATAATATTTACCACTAATTTGGTAATGGAACGTTATATTGCAAAACATGACATGATACAGAAAAGAAAAGAAATTTTAAAATCAGAAAATAATATTGCAAATACTTATTTTTGACAATTCTCCCTATTACTGATTAATGTGTGTTGTTTAACACGTTCACTGCGCTACGAGATCCCGAGGTCTCGTATCGTACCTAGCCCGTAGTGCGGGACCCATAATTTGGCTTCTTTCCAAAAATTACCACATCGATATTTCGGCGTACAGTTATCGTAAAGAAATGAAACGTGTACATATATAATGCATTATTCTTGGTGTATCAACTAGTAAATATGAAATGAACGAGATAAATAGATCTCGTAACGCACTGAAGTAATAAACTTTTACTTTATTACGATACGAGACCCCTGGGTCTCGTATCAAAAATAGTTGTTCCAAGCACTACATGAGGCTAATGGGGTGATTAGTAACCATGGTAACCTTTGTCGAATGCTTGGATGAAAGAAGGAAACCAAAGAAATAACTCAAGAACAAAGAGAAAGAATAATGGCGTTTTTATGCTGTTATTTTTATGAGTTATCTAATGTTTTATAGGTTTACATATTTATCGTTTTCAACTACGTGAACATAAATCTTGTTAAACTATCGACGTGTTTCTAAAACAGCACTAACGGATGCGTACTAAAGGTCACTGGTAAATGACCTAAAATATCACGATTGTGTAATGTTGTATTTTGATGTAAAAAAGCAAACCATTTACATTAATTCGAATATTTCTCCTGGTCCCTACTAAATCATACAAAACACAAAAATCAATGCTAAATAATCGTCAAACCGGACAAGCAATTTCCGATAAACAACTTTGTATCATTGGTTTTTGTTTTGCGATTGGGATCCCTTTCCCAGCCCTTTAGGGAAGTGGTGCAAGTCAAATAGAGCTTCAAGGTTGCACCCATCCCTTCCCCCCCCCCCCACCCACTCGACTCACTGTTGGCACGCACTCATTTCGAGGTCATAGCCCAACCAAAAAATTATAACGAAATAAATACAGTAATTTGTAAACATATTTCATTTGTATTATATTTAGCCTGAAATCAGCCGAAAGGAAACGCATTCATATAAAAAGTGATACAAGAAAGATAAAATATATTTTTTATAACGGTTACGATTATAAGGAATTCGTAAATAAACAGAAAACATATATTTTTCTTAATTTGTTATTGTAGGAAAAGAATAAATACAAATAAATAATGAACTACTACAGCTGTGCGGTACGAGATATCGGGGTCTCGTACAATGACGTCATATTTACTTCCTGGGCTGGCTGAAGATTGTCAACATTGTACTGGTTCAGATATACAAACACTCAGCGCTCTCTCGCCTTTCTTTACGAGGTTATGAAGCGCAAAAGATTACTGCGCAACGTAATCTCGGGGTCTCGTATCGCACCTGGGTAATCATAGCAAATAGCGGACACGATTACTAGAAAAATACCGGTATGGATCATAAACATAAACAAATGACGTTTTTGGCCCGAAAATAAACATGATTTAACATTACTTAAATGGAACTGCCAAAACATATGCTCAGTGCAAAACATCCATATCACAGCCATTTTGATGATCTAATAATTTCTAATGCATCTAATTAAATATAATAAGGAAATGAACACTTTAAAACTTCCACTCGTACCTTAAGGGTACGAGTGTGCTCTAAAATATAATTTACATATTAAGCTGAAATAACCAATAGTTCCCTAACCCCTTAATCCCCCCTTCCTGAAAAAAATTAGAACATATTTTAATATTACTTATTCTAAGGTAAACTTATCAATCGGCGGTGGAGTCCCGTCTTGACCATGGCGCCTACACCCTCTTGACTATGGAACACGACTGTTAAAAGATTTCACACCACTATTGGAGTTATGGCACTAACTGATAAGGTCTGGTCCTAACGACTTGTTCTGATTTGAGCTTAATATCGTACTCAATCAAATTTGTTCTGCCTACTTTTTTGGTAATTGTGTCAGGAAATTGTTCCACTAACTCTTTCACTTTCTGCCTTTGTTGATTATCGAGTTGTTCGCCTAACTTAAATGGTGTGTCTTAAGGGCATTAGAAATTATTAGATCATCAAAATGGCTGTGATATGGATGTGGTTTGGCTCAGTAATTAATTTTAGATCTTTATTATTCAACTCAGAATATCCCTTGCAACACTAGATTGATTATATTGAGCCTTAACGATCCAATGAGTCCAGTACCGTTACTATAAACTATAGTAACACGCTTCAATAATGACAATCTTACAAACTAAATTATGCTGCTTATGAATACAAATAAACCTAAATGGTGATACTGTACATTGGATGAATATGATAACAATTAAAAACGTAAAAATAAACTTTACCAAAAGAATTTACCAATTATTAAGTTTTCAATTAATTGTTTACAGAGCGTCCATACTACGAACGACACTGGGTGAGACCTATATCAGTCAGGCCTAATGAGTATATCCCCAATGACTTTGTGGAACAGCAGCAAAGGGACTTGCTGGAGTCCTTGGAACTCGGTCCATTAGATATCTCATTGGAGGCTGAAGAAGGGGAGCCCACTTGCTTCATTTGTTTGGTTAATAAGCCAAACAGATATGCAACTCCCTGTGGACACAACATCCTCTGCAGGGATTGTCTTCCACAGTTTGTTAATCAAGTAATTTATGATACATACATTGATGATGGGCAATTGGTTGAAATGCCAGTAAGAATACCGATAACATGCCCAATGTGCCGGGCTATTATAAGCCAACTAATTCCAACATTTATTTAGGTGAGTATTAAAGGTGTTTAAATATGACATTCTAGTTTCCATATATATTTTTATTTATTCTTTTGTCTTCCTAAATAGATTTACCATCTTTGGGTTCAAAGAAGAAAGAAGCACAAACAAAATTAAATTACACAGTAAACGTGTGCTGCAATAGTGATCAGTAGGAAAATGCTTTAAAAATGGTGTTACCATTCTACAGTATAGTTTATTTTTTATAAGCTGACATAAGTTTTACTATTTTCATTTATTTTTTATGAATGAAAATTCTTTTATAATTTCTAAATATAATTCATTTTATAATTCACTTTATAATTCATTAAACACACATTACATTGGATTGGATGTGTTGCTGATCATAGACAATCAAAATATACATTTTTCTATATTTATTCCTCACGGTTGTTTGTACAATTATAGCATGATTCTAAAGCCCTTTTTGCTGTTTAAGAACTCGGTTTTACAATCCAGGACACATAATAGTGAAATACACCTACAAATACTCTGAAAGACTTTTTCACCACACTGATGTTTTTAGCTGTTTTACATACGTTAATTGGTGGCTGAAAGTTGCGTTTTGCTGGCCATGCCAGCTGTCATCCTCATTTGGGGAACGAGCAGATTTTTACATCCCTAGGGCCTCAAAATCAGCTGCCCGCTTACTTTCTTAATACATGAATGCATAATTATATACACAATTAGTATCCATAGCATTGCAATAGAATTGTTTTATTGCCACCACTGCCTAGCAACTATTTATTATCATTTTTGCTGATTCCTCAAATTATTTCTTCACATAACCTTAAAGTTGTAGTTGTGTTGACTATCAGTGTGCATTACTATTGTGGTGATTAGTGGTAAGGATTTTCGGCACTAGGTACAAAAAATACTCTTTTGTGCCATATGTTGTGTCTATGATGAACACCCCACCTAAGATTTCTGTATGCTTAAGATCTATTTAAGGCTAGTGCTTGTTAGTGCTTTCTGGGTCTGATATACAGTGAGTGTGTTGTGGTTCTAGGCTCGTGATAAACAGCGGCAGAATTGTGAAATATACCTACAAACCACCATGCAACAGTCCATGGACTCATTGAAGATGATGATTACTCCTAGTTCTCATTTATAATACTCCCTCCTGTGAATAAATATCTTCATACAAAAGTATAATTTTATCTTTGGATTTCTTGCCCTTTCACAAAAGAAATTATTTGAATTTATCCGAGTTAAGAAATTTTGAACTGTGCCAAACCTTTTTGACAGTTAAGTAAAACCTTTGACAATTGGTACAAATTATCGAATAGTCAGTGACAAAACCACTCTGAACCGCACCCTGTCAAAACTAAAATGTAAATCAATACAAATAAGCGGTATCAGCAATTTGATACATTAGTTACTTTTCCCCATAGCTGGGCAACAACCTTTATCATGGTTGGTGAGATATTATTAACTATGACAATTTATGGGGAAATGACGAAAGCTGCAGCAGGTTTTGAACATAGAATGGATTAGTGGTAATAATTGTCTAATATCGCCAAAAATCCCATTAAACATTGAACTCTCCATTCTCCAACTCTTATATTAATAGTATACTAACATGTATTAATAGCTAAAAAGACTGTCCAATTTCAACTTTTAATATTCCTTCAATTGTTGATAATAAATAATTTTCAAGCAGTTTGTTACTGGCTGTGGTGTTTTAGATAGACTTTATTGAAAAACCAATCATACCATGGATATTTGCTTAGTATGCAGGTTTGCTGTGACAGGAGTATTTTCAATTGCATTAAATTAAAAGATCCAATTGCATTAAATTGAAAATTAAAAGAACAAAATTTTCTTATATCGTGTCATCTTCCTTTGCAAATGCAAAGCACGAGTATAACTGCATTTTTCTAGAGCCTGAACGGTCTCTAGAAAATGAATGGCTATAAAAACCCATACGACAAATTTTCTCACTAATAATGAATTGTACAAATTAAGCTCATAACTTTAAAAACACACGCATAACATAAGGAACACACGTGAACCACAAATACAAATTGAAGACAACAAAGTGTAACAAAAAAATATGTATAAACAAAGAAAGTCAAAGAAATAAAAATACAACAATAATCTGTTATAGTAGTTTACACAACGGCGCTTAAAAATAGTGTTAATGACAAGAGTAGAAATGCTTATAAACTTGTGTCATTAACACTGTGTATATGGGAAAAGCGTACTCTACTATTACCTACAACATAGTGTTTTTTTTATTACTAACAATTTTGTTTTTTTATTACTTTTTTTATCACTACTCAACAATCACTACTAAAAAGGTTGGCAAAACTTGCGACAGCTAGCCTGACCATAGCTCATATACCATACTCATCCTACACTCATCTCAATTCATACTTGGCTTAAAATACCTACTATCATAGATAAAAGGAGTACTATGTATGGTCGCCATTTCATTGAACAGTATTGAACATACTACTGGACCGGAAGAAGTAAAGGCGAGCAGTGCGGAGTGTGGGAACCGTTTGTGGCAGTTGGATTAATCTATCTGCAATATTAAGACTGCTGTCTAAGTAAACTAATGACTTCCCCCGAGCAAAACCTGGTCCACAGGTATTTTGTAGAATACAATGCCGTAAATCTGAGCTCAAAATAACAGCTGGGTAAAAAATGGCAGATTCAAGAAATATTATAGGTTGCCATTTTGACTCGGTTTAAGTTTGGGTTTAGGACAATACATTTTAATAAATAAAACCATTAATTTGATACTTAACTTGACATATGCTGATTCTATTCAAGGAAATGCATGTAGGCATACAGTATTAACATTTTACTGATTTGTTTGAAATTAAATCTTGTAGGTACATTAAAAACTTGCAAAACTTGTGACAGCTAGCCTGACCATACTACTGGACTGAATTACACACGGTTGGTACCAAATGAAAGATATTTTACCTACGACCGTTTTTTAAAGTAGACATTTCAGTTCAGTTCTTAGAATTGAAAAGTTTCACTTAACAGCTGTTTACTTTCATAACAGCATAGTTTCATTTTTCATAACAGCATAGTTTTTCTCATAACAACACGGGTAACGGATCAAGGCCCCACTAGAAAAACAGGCCATGCTGCAGGATTCATTACGTCACACTAGTGGATGGATTTCATTGATAAATTCATTGCCATCACCATTACCATATGTTTTTGGTAAATAAACAAGCTGGCTGTTTGTAAGATTTGGGTCTGACTTAGGGGAGGTACAAATGAGGCATTTAGTTCAAAATTCCTCCGTGAACAGCGCTGTAGTAGAGAGTACTTTGGCAATAAAGGTTTACTAATAGCAAAAATAGTTCTGTTCATAAAATAAAATTATAAATGCCTCAAATTCAATTTTACTATTTTTAATTATAAAATTAAACTATCATAACCTAACCGAACTAACCAAACTTGCTGATAAAGAAATAATATAACAAAAGTTTAGTAATCGGAAAAATAATTCTGTTTATTAAATAAAACTAGGAATTGCTCAATTAAAATTTTATAATGACTTAATAATAAAATTAAACTGTAATAACCAAACCAAACCAACCAAACTTGCTGATAATAAAAAAATCTTGGACAAAAAGTTAGTGCTACAAGCGAGATTCGAACCCGGGACCTACAGCATATCAGCCCGGCACGCTAATCATTAGACCACCGAGGCCGATGGCTAACGAATATTTTGTTACGGTAATGGCGTTCCCTCAGCTAATAAGAAGCCCACAGCTGTCATCGTAGCCTCTTCTATACCTCCCCTGAGTAAATACCGTAAGATTTTAATGGCAAGAGTTTAGTACAACTATCCACCACTGTGACGTAGTGTTGCGCTGCCCGTGCTGCAGCATGGCCTGTTTTTTCTAGTGGGGCCTTGAACGGATCAATGAGGTTCAAGAATTGAGGAAAAAGAAGTAAAATTGTAATGCTTCGAACGTCAACTAATCAGCTGATCAGCTGACCAGTTGGCAATTTTAATTGTTGATCTGGCTTGTTCCTGTTGATACTCGCGTATTCTTAACCTAAGTTGGTGGAAGTTAAAGGAAGGTAGATTAAACTGTTTTAAAAATGTCAGTTAGTGAAAGTGAAGTTGACGAGATGGAATTGAGAACACAAACTGCTTATAATATTCTATAATATTCGATGCTGGGATCTAACTGTAAATTAACTCTTTCACTAAATAATGTAAATCATGTAAATGTACATCATTTAGTTGTCAAAAAAAAACAAATAAATGCAATATTTCCCTAATTGTACTCTCATCAATCCAGTAAATACGGAAAAATTAAGACAGACAGAAATTGAGATAAGACTCGTTTCGGCTTTCTTATGTTATGAAACGTAAAAATAACCAAAACCTGCATGATTCTAAGCAATGTACAGACAAAACTGTAATTTTATTTTTATTGATTTATATATTTGCCAACGGATTTACACCAATTTTACAGTATGATTAGGCCTAAATACGATTATCGTAAAACTAAAAATTTGATGACACTAACAAAACTTTTAAATAATTATTTTGTTTGCAATTTGTTTTGGTTAAAGCGTAGCAAAACCCCTTATTCAATTCTGTATTTAGTCGTGTATGGAAGCGCGGGAAACCGTCATCCACCGGTGTACAAGCAACACCCCAGCCGTCTTGTGGTTGGGAGGGGTAGCAAATGTGAGTGTGACCTTGGAATGAGTCACAGCGGCCCTGTCCTGCACCTGCTTCATGTCTCTCTCGCGTTTGTTGTTATTACTGTAAATGTTTAAACAACGATACCGACTGAACCAGCCAAGCGATTTTAAAAATTTAAAAAGTAAAATTAATTAAAAATTGTTGTCTTTAAAATGACTACCTGCAATTTTCATTTCTTATTTTGTAACACAATTATTTTACCATAAATTTTTTAACCAGCAACTTAATTCAAATTTATCTTCAATAGCCTGCCCTGCAAGACGAGCCTGAGCCGCTTGTTGAAGTTCAATGGGACAACGACAATCTTATTGTAAGATACTGTTAATTGTATTAGATCGCGCATAGCCACATGAGAGTCTAGACAATAGTCGAAATTTGGTTGGATTATGCATCAAATGTCAAATGAAATCAAATCTCTTACATTTTTCTCAAACTATATTATTTAGATGCGATATTTTCTAAATATGGCAATATGGTCTAGCTAGGTAGTTTATGCGGATGAGACTTTTACTTTTTTTATGTTCTTTCAACCAAATTACAATTAAAGTACAATAGGAATAGGGACGATAGTGGTAAAGTAATTAATTATTAACAATTATTATTATACGAACAGTGAAGAATATGATTCCTCCTATAAAGTAAATAATGTTTTTTTAGGATCAACAGTTGGATATGTTGCTCTCAGTTGATGTCGATACAAATGATATTGTTGCTGAGGGTGAGGAAAGGCCGTGTATTGCCTGCGGCGAAAATTCAAGGACTTATATGGTCGAGCCATGTGCTCATTTTATATTCTGTGGTCAATGTGTGGCAGTCCATAGAATGACTGTCAGGGACATTGACGGTTACCCACAGCCAGTTCGCTGCCCGCTGTGTCGGACTAACGTCACCTCCTACAGGAGGGTTTTTCAATAGTAAGTAGTAAATTGCAATAATTTATTATAACATGAAAACAGTTATAAGTTTATTATATTATTTTCGACTCATTGAATATACGTTATAATAAATACGTTATATGACAAATATGGCAACTTGACGTTACACGAAATCAAATCAATTAATTTTAAAAATAATTTATTCCACCAAATATATCTTACCAGTATACGAGTAATACAAGGGAACATAATACAAAGGATGGTCCCAACATAGAAAAAGCCTGTGCGTGGAGAAAGTCGTCCATTACAACAAAATATCTGAAGTCCATCCAATTGATAATCTATTTACAACACCTTATACAACTCTACATATTAATACACAATTACAAAGGAAAACACTTTCACTGGGGAGCCATTACAGATCAATGAAATTAAAACAAAATAAAACGTATTTATTAGCTTTGGGTAATATAAACTGGCAGGTTAACAGAGTACTGCAGTTATAATGCTCGCATAACAATCAAAAGGATTGCCGCATCGATCCAGATAAAATTAATTACCTTTTTTATTGTTCAAAGATGGATTATTGTCTCATGTCATTAATTAACAGTTTTACACACTTGACCTTCCGTTTTTAGGTGCATAGAACTCCAAAAGTTATCGTCCTCTTCGGCCACTGTCGGAGCTGTCACCTCGGCCAAATAGACGTGTGGAGAAGCCACTGGACCAGGGCCGGATTTAGCATTTTTGCGCCCCTAGGCCCAAATAATTTTCAACCCCCTAGTCTGGTCACAGTTACTATGACTATTTATTTTTATTTTTAGATAACCTAGGTATACAAAAAATTACTCTCAATCACTTTGTTTTTGATTAAGAATTAAGGAGAATTAAGAATTGATTAAGGAGTCGTTATTTTTTTATCAATCAAATGTCTTGGATTGTAATGAAATCATTTCTCGAAAATCATATTCAAAATATTTTTTTATCAAATGGTTTTAACGATTATACGTACTTTAAACCACAACCTAGCAAGGCTCAGTCCCCCGGTACTAAAAACTTAAAATCCGTGATATTTATAAGACCAATGTCTGTTCAACAAAGAGTAATTATTGAGCACCTGACATCCATCAGCAATATGGTATGTTCTTTTCCGACGAATCAATAGGCCAAAACATTGGCTGATGTGTTAACATTTAATAAAATGCATTTATAGATCAAAAGGTATTTATTTCCCGTCCTATTGCCGTTGAAAAGCACGGGTACAACAGCTAGTTATTAAAACATAGACAAAAATACATTAAGGAAGTGTTACCATACTAACAACATGATAAATTGTGAAAGTTTGTGTGTTTGTTTTTCTTATTGGGGTTCAATCACTCACTGGTCGGATTAGGTTGAAATTTGGCATGCTGATAGCTCACATTCCCGATTAAAATATAGGCATATTCTTATCTCAAAACTCATTTCGTGCTCCGCCCGACTCGATTGTCCGTTAGAGTTTGGATTTGCGGCATTGTATTTTACAAACAAAGACAATTAAGGTCTATCTATATCAACCTATGATTACATTTGAGCACTTCTTCTTTATATCATAAGTTTCTTCTACATCTGTATTATAATTCAACACAGGATTTACTAATTTGAAATATACGATACAGCCTATGAAATAACTACACCTTAGAGAAACTGATTGGGCAAATTGGTTTACTTCATACCAAGCTATCAATAACATACACACCAAATTATCTCCCCCCTGTAACAGCAAACCTAGGTAGGCCTACTCATTGAAATTAATAATATTCATATAGGAAATATTTCTTACAATTTTACTAGGGAAGAATTTAGTAGAATTACAGCAAGGTAAATGGAAAATTGGTTTCTCTGCAGGTTCACTGACGCGGGAGTATTTTAATTTTACGGGAGGCAGTACACAATAATGATATCTTACTCATCATCATTGGCACAACCATTACGGATAATTATTATTATTAACCGTAACATAATTAAAGAAGTAACTAAATCCAAAAAGATTAAACAAACAAATTTACTTAATTACGTAAAAATAAGTATATATCATAAAGCATTTCTTATGCTATATGATATTTATGGTTATACCATCGCAGGTGAAGCCGAAGGTACTTGCTAAGTAATTAATAACCCTTACATTGACATTGATCAAACAAAAGCCATGAAATGATTAGGGATATGCCTCAGACCCCAAATGAACGAAGGGTAAAAATTTGTTGAGTATATAAAAAATTTCATATAAATATAAAATGCAAATCAAATAATTTGCATACTACTTTTAATGTATTTAGTATCAGACACAAACAAGAGTTAGAGTCAAGAGTTAGTGAATTATTGAGTTAATTCAAGACTTGTATTATTGAATTGGTATCTTTCAATCATAAAGTCTTTAAAGTCTAGCATTAAGTCTTTCGATCTAAGATTTTAAATTCAGGGATTATGATTTAGTTACATACATCAACATGGCATCAACCGATATACGCCGTCTGCAATTATGGTGCCTTGTTAGAAGGCAATCTATATATACCACAGTAAGGCAAGCAGTATTTGACAAATACGGGAGTTAGAAACTGTATGAGGAAAATTAAGATTTCCTAAACAAATTGGGCTGTATCTAGAATGTATCTAGATACATATTTTACTTTATAAAAAGATAAGTTACTTCAGATAAATACAGTATAAACCACAAAGTAAACTACCTATTTGTTCCATAATACTCAATTCTATGTTCTAATAGCAAAAAATAAAATGTTAGCCTACTGAGAGTATTCTCAGAAGATTAACTCTTCTATTAGGAGTATTTCATTCCATCTATGTTTGATAATATTGTTGTCATGATGGTTAAATTTAAAAAAGGAGATGTAAAAAAAATTATCATAGCATATATTGAAGGCCAATACATACGCTAAGAGAATTGTAAAACTATACAAAGAGTGCTTCAAAGGGCATTTTGATACTCCATTGATAAAATACAAACAGTATTTTAGTAATTGCCTTTACGTGATATAAATTAGAACAAAACTAATATTAATTAAAAACTCCGTTATACTTAATGGCTAATTTATGTGACAATATTTATCTAACATAGAGCGAATTAAAATGTTGTTTTTAAACATTGTCTGAATATACGTCTTAAATATGATGTTGAAATGGTTTTTGGACAAAAAATACACACACCAAATAAGTAGTTTGGTTACTTTTCTATACAGATCTAAACTCGAGTGTCTAAACTTTTCCCCTGACATTAGCAACGCGGCTGGTTACGGCGTTCATCGCCTTCAATCTGAGAGACGCAACAGTTCTAGCATTTTGGATGTTCCGATCTGACTAGTAGCGTTTTGGAAATTCCGACCCGGCATATGATCACAACTTCCAAAGTGAAAAGGACAGTCTATTTCATAAGTTTACTTTAAGAAATAAATTTGTACTTCTAGTTATGACTGTACTTTTGGATCTTACGATTTTGGAACTTCCGATCGGCAATATTTTCTTTGGATCTTTTGATTTTGGATCTTCCGACCCGCTAAATAACCTTTGGAAATTCCGATTTTGGAAGATCCGATCGGCAATATAAACGTTGGATCTTTCGATTTTGGAACTTCCGATCGGCAATATATTCTTTGGATCTTCCGATTTTGGAACTTTTGAAGACCATCCATTCATACGCTTGGCTCATAGGCACTATGATCTGTAGAGTAAGTGAACCCTCTTAATTTATTTGATATTTTTGATCGGCTCGTATAGTATACGAGCCTGTAGTGCAAGTGAACCTTCAATATTATTTACGAAGCTCGTATAGACTATGATTTGTAGAGTAAGTGAGCCATGTGTTTTAAGAATTACATATTTGGAGGCTCATTGTGTCAATGATTCGTAGAGTAAGTGAACCCTAACCCACCACTGCACTCATCAAGCAAAGGCCATTTTCACTCGTGTTACACATTATATTTTTCCTACAGTCACTATAAAGCATATAAATAATTAGTCTTTCAAACACTATACAGCAGAGCTTTTTTAGGTTCAGCTGGCAACAAAAATGGTGCCCTAGAGAAAGTAGTACTCGCGGTCCGTATCACTCCGCTATTTTTCCTCGGCAAGAAATTTGCTACGCGTTTTGAGAATATAGTTCCGTATGTTTTAGTAATTTGAAAAGGTTTCCGCGCCTTAAAAAATGCTTAAAAGGTATTTTTTTTGTTTATTAAGATCGTAGGAATATTTCTAAAACGTTTTAAAGAAAAGTCCAGAAAGTTCAGGAATACCGAAACTATAAACACGAAATGACAGGTTAAATCGTAGTTATAATTAGTCAATCAGCTGCTCATAGAATAATTATCTTTAAGTGTTGCCAGCCTATTTCCAAGCGTACACGGATTACGTGCATAATAAAACCACGCTGTTTTGTGTTGTTTGGTTGGAATCCTGATGTACGGCAAAGTATAAACCGTACGGCAAAGTATAAATATGCAGCAATTATCAGCTTTCTGTACTATAAACAGTACAAGGAAGCCAACTTTGTCGGGTGACTGTAGGAAAAATCAAATTGTTGTTTTTGTTTATCACTAACTGTCGTCTTCTGTCAAAACGTCAAAGTCTTTGTTTACATTATGATCATCTGGATACAGTAATTCAATTGCTGTTAGTATTTTATTTTTTCCTACAGTCACCCGACAAAGTTGGCTTCCTTGTACTGTTTATAGTACAGAAAGATGCTAATTGCTGCATATTTATACTTTGCCGTACGGTTTATACTTTGCCGCACATCAGGATTCCAACGAAACAACACAAAACAGCGTGGTTCCATTATGCACGTAATCCGTGTACGCTTGGAAATAGGCTGGCAACACTTAAAGACAATTATACTATGAGCAGCTGATTGACTATTATAACTACGATTTAACCTGTCATTTCGTGTTTATAGTTTTGGTATTTCTGAACTTTCTGGACTTTTCTTTTAAACGTTTTTAAAACCTTCCTACGATCTTAATAAACAAGAAAATACCTTTTAAGAATTTTTTTTAGGCGCGGAAACCACTTCAAATTACAAAAACATACGGAACTATATTCTCAAAACGCGGAGCACATTTCTTGCCGAGGAAAAATAGCGGAGTGATATGGACCGCGGGTACTACTTTCTCTAGGGCACCATTTGTGTTGCCAGCTGAACCTAAAAACGTGTTGTATAGTGTTTGAAAGACTAATTATTTATATGCTTTAAAGTGACTGTAGGAAAAATATAATGTGTAACACGAGTGAAAAAGGCCTTTGCAGCACTCGAGATCATTACACACTCGCCTGCGGCTCGTGCGTAAACATTGCTCTCGTGTGCAGCAAAGTGCCACTTTCACCACTAGTTACACAAATAACTATTAAAGCATTTTTTTAGGCACGGAAACCACTTCAAATTACAAAAACATACGGAACTATATTCTCAAAACGCGGAGCACATTTCTTGCCGAGGAAAAATAGCGGAGTGATACGGACCGCGGGTACTACTTTCTCTAGGGCACCATTTGCGTTGCCAGCTGAACCTAAAAACGTGTTGTATAGTGTTTGAAAGACTAATTATTTATATGCTTTAAAGTGACTGTAGGAAAAATATAATGTGTAACACGAGTGAAAAAGGCCTTTGCTGCACTCGAGATCATTCCGCACTCGCCTGCGGCTCGTGCGTAAACATTGCTCTCGTGTGCAGCAAAGTGCCACTTTCACCACTAGTTACACAAATAACTATTGCAATTCGATGTAAAGATTTACTGATTTAATGGAAATTAAATATTATTTACTATTTAAATTTGGGTTTGCGTACATATTGCAAAAGAAAATATCGAGAAAGCCTACACAATTTGATATATTTCACCACTAAATAAGAAAAATGAATTGACACAGTGCTGTTGTATTTCTTGAGCAATCCTTGAAAGAACCGATTTTCAAACTATGGAAACATGGAAAAGTCATAGAACGCCACCAATTAGAAATGGGGATAGTTTTTAGGTTATTAGGTTTATTTTAGGTTATAAGCCTATAATAAAGGAATGTCCCCAAGATGATTCCTATACAAACGGTGAAGAGAATGTTAGCCGAAGGGAAACAGAAGGAAACCTCTACTGTATTAATTAACTTTGTGATGATTGCAGCGGAAACTCCTCTTAATTAGGCAAAGTAAAATTTGTACAACAAGGACATTAAAAATATTGTTTTATTTTGATCAAAGTCAAGCGGTTTTAGAATTACTACACCCAAGAAACTTTTCATTTTTTATAAAACTTTCACTAAAGCGCTCAATTATTATTCACAGTTAAGGGAAACAAAAATCATCTGAACAACATCAGGCGGCCTTTTAACTCTACATTTTTTCAGGTAAATACAATTGACGTTATTACAACAACTAATTGTGGCAGACAGGTTATGCATAGGAATTAGGAATTCAGGTAGTTCTTTAGTAATAATGTGAACAAATTATACTCTTATTTAAGTAAAAAAGTAAAATAATTATTTGTAAAGACATACTGGCAGCAATGACGAATATAATCATGAACAATCTCACTCGGCTGGAGTGCTATTTGTAGAAAACACTAAATAATAGCCTTTGAAAAATTATAAAATACAGTACCAATTTATTTGTTTATGGTAACTGTAGGAAAAATATAATGTGCATCTCAAGTGCAAAGTGCAATTGCCTCACTCGAGAAGTTATTCTGATTAAGTATTTTATCGAGTGAGTCAATTGCTCCCTTTGCTCACTAGTTGCACAAATAACTATTGTTCCTATCGAATCGACTATTAGCACAGAAAATATACTACTATAACCCTGGTTATAACTGGTTGTAGTAGTATGTTTTATGTGCTATTAGTTCTGTTCTAATGAGGGAGGACTGAGTTTGAGGAGACTTGGGATTTGAAGAAGAAGAAGCCGCACCGATGTACCGTTCCGATTCCAATTCCGCTGTGCCACGGCGCGGTGGTGGGGGGTTGAGGTCCTCCATGAACGGTCTCGTTTCTATTCATTTCATTCTCCTCATTCAAGTCCCTAATCCATCCATTCCAAATACTGTAAATGCAATTCCAATTTCCATTCCAACCTGTTTCTCCACTTAAACAGACGAGTCCTCTATAGTTTAGTAAGTTAGCATTGGTTATGGATAATTTTAGCTTATTCGTAGATTCTAAAGTCTACTCAATAACACATTCATGCTCAACAACACAGACTAGACTAAAAATATTTAGGGATGGCTCCAGAGGGTAGGCCCTGACCACGGCCGCGCCCTGACCTACGCAAAATTTTGGTAGATATTTCAAAATCATAAATAAAAGAAGAAATTTAATTAAATGTAAATAAAAAGAAAACATTTAAACTCATTATTTTGCTTTTACATTTCTAAATTCCCCCTTTTTGTATCCCCACTATTCCGGCTTAAAAATTTTCCAGGCCCAAAAAAAATTTTTTCTATGATATGGAAGATTTTCATGGTGGAAGCCAACATGGAAGATTTTCTAAATTTCACAAAACACACTACGAATCAAAGACTGACTTCACATACGTGTTTAGACACTGCATGTTTAAAAAGCAAGCCTCCTAGCATTCATATGTAAAAGAGAAAAATAACAGTCGGCAACGAACGGGCAAAAGTAAACGAAACGAAACGATTGAATTGAAATACGATTGAAACGAAACGAAACGAGAAACGATTGAAATTGAAACCACTGAAACCGGTGAAACAAACGTGAAGTGTGCGTTTTCGCTTGAGAATTTACATAATTGATACTCTTCATAATATAAGGTTACTGAAATATTAATAATTCAACAGTTCCGTTGATTGTTAACTACTTCCTTCATTACGTAAGTTATAAGTTACTGTAATACACGTTAATTCAATAAATCTAGTTCCATGGACCTAGGCTATGTTGACTTGCTTCTTCACGCTTTTCAATCTTTCTGAAGAGCCTAAAGTTTATTTTTCTTTTGACAACTGCCCCAAAATCATGGAATTTTGAACTGTGATTGTAGTTAAATTCAGCAATAGTACAATTTCATCAAATATGCTAGGTCTAGGCTAGGCTAGGTTTTTTTATCCTATGTTCAAGAATTTATTAGGCCTACCTAGGCCTAGGCCTATAATTTAACTTATTAGCCTAGGCCAAGAATACTTTTTTAGCCGTTGCCTGTGTAACAACAGGTCAACATTAACACATTTGCTGCTAGGCCTACAAAAAAAGTTAAATATTCTTAGTGGACCTAGGCCTAAACAGTAACTTAATAGCCTAAGTAGTGATGTGACGAGTCGGGTACTTTCCTGACTCGAGTGACTCGACTCGCCAACTGCCGTGAACTCGAGTTACGAGTCGAGTCAGACTCAACTCGAAACTCGACCCGTAACCAATGCATTATGGGAGTCCGCAACGACTCGGTGTCGACCAATATGGTTATAGTTTTGCGAGTCGGCCGACTCGGTAGCGGCCAATAGCGTGTCAGCTTTACGAGTCGACTCGAGACGTTCCGAGTTCGTTTGAGTTCGGCATTTTCCGTACGAGTTCGTTAGTTTTGCGAGTCGGCCGACTCTGTACCGGCCAATAGCGTGTTAGCTTTACTAGTCGACTTGACTCGACTAGAGACGTTCCGAGTTCGTGTGAGCTCGGCATTCTCCGTACGAGTTCGTTAGTTTTGCGAGTCGGCTGACTCGGTATTGGCCAATAGCGTGTCAGTTTTACGAGTCGAGTTGACTCGAAACGTTCCGAGTTCGTGTAGGTTCGACTTTCTCCGTATGAGTTCGGTTTCGTTTTGGGAGTCGGACTCGTTACGTTACGAGTTCGTATAGCTTCGGCAATCTCCGTACGAGTTCGTACCTACTCAAGTTATAATTGAGATGACTCGAGTTGACTCGACTCGGGTCTTGACTCGAGTCAACTCGACTCGTCACATCACTATTAATAAGCTTAGCTTAACTTAAGTTAGGCACATAGGCCTAGGTAATAGCTTATGAAACTGTTTAAGTTACTTAACCCTAGCAGTGGCCAATGTTAGAAGTAGGGAATGGCCAACCCATTTTGGCGATTTTGCAGACATTTTTTGAAAATTCAATAAAAATCAAGGGTAGGCCTAAAAAAGTTAAAGTTTCTTAACTGGGCTATGCTAATATTGATTGAAACTATCGATTCGATTAGTAAACCTTCATGCGATTTTTTCACCATCAGCAAGTTTGGTTGGTTAGGTTAGGTTATGATAGTTTTATTTTATAAAAATATTTAAAAATATCGATCATTAATCAATATTTTCAATTTGATAGTTTCAATCAATTAGCATAGCCCAGTTAAGAAACTTGTCCCAAAATCAACCCTACAAGTAACTTAAACCTAGGCCTAGCCAACCTTATAGGCCTAGGCCTATTAGGCCTAGGCTTAGTCAATTTTGTTCGGAAAGAATAGGAGAATTTAGAAATAGTAATAGCCTATAACTTAATAATGATTTAGGGGCCTAGATAGGCTAGTGTATTTTTTCGATAAAGTGAAAAAAATAAAAAAATTAACTTAAGAATTTTGTTTTGAAATTTGAAAAGCAGCCTCAGTAAAATTGTTCAAAAGATTTTATATGGGAAATTCATTCCTATACATTTTGTAGGCGATCTATTGGCCTAATTCCCTATAAGTTTTTGGAGCGAAATATAATAACAAACGTAGAACCGAAAAAATTGAAAACCTTAGGCCTACAGTGTTAGTTTGTGTTGTAAAAAGTTATATAACAAGTTGTTTATATTAATAACTAGCAGAGCACCCGTCCTTCGTACGGGGTTGGCATATAAGTGTAAAATGCTTATTGCACAGTTATACTCAAGCTTTGCGTTTGCAATGGGGGGAGGACACAGTTTGATAAAATTTGGTTCATAAATTTACGGTATGATATAGTATTTTTAACACATCTACCATTGCCATAATGTTCTACCATTGCACCTAAACAATACAAAAAAATAATTATCAAACATTCGCACAATATCACAAATTATTCTTTAATTTAAAAACTCAAACCTAACTGTAAACAATCCTACTTTAACAGTTCTCATTGTGTATCACAGCTTTTTGTTGCTGCTTGTTCAAATATGCACAAACAAAATAATAATAGTGCTGCACCCTGTTGGGAAACCTTATGACTTTTTAATGCTATTGCATATTATAGAACCAACTTGTAAAGTTGAAACAGCTGACTAAATTCTTTAATTCCCTTTAAATATGAATACTCATAAGGTTAACATGGGGAACTACAGTCCCACTGGGGCGGAGCCCGAAAGGATTTTTGAGATAAGAATATGCCTAAATGTTAATAGGGAATGTGAGCTATCATCATGCCAAATTTCAGCCCAATCCGTCCATTAGTTTATGCGTGATTGAGCAACACACAAACATACACACAAACTCACAAACTTTCAGATTTATAATATTAGTAAGATGATATACAGTAGGCCTAGAGTCCCGCAAACTCAGCATTGGATAACCCGGCAGTCTGGATAACTCGGCCATCACCTGGCTCAGAAAATTAGTGATTTTTTGAGTCCGAGTTAAACATGGACACAAGCCAGCTCAAGTATAGGCCTAATAATTTGCAATTGGTACTAAGGATTTTTTATACTATATCTTATGACTTAATAGGCTACTGACTTGTAATATAAATCTAATTGAAAAAGGCGGTTAAAAAGCTTAAAAATTGTATTGCTCTTATTTTTAACTGTAGTTCCCGATAACCCGGCATTTCATAAACTCGGCACCCTTCCAGTCATTACGCCGAGTTTGTGGGACTCTACTGTATTATATGTTTGTAAGTAAAGCTAATATAGTAAGGAATCCCAAAAAGTCATCAAGTTTATGGTAAAAATATTTTTTTATTCATAAATAAAATAAGTTAATGTTTTAGTATTTTAGCGAGTTTGTGAAAAAAATGTATAGTATTTAAGTATAAAACTTTTGTAAGTACTTACCAAATGTTTTTACTTCAAACAAACATAATCATCTTGTTCTTGAAGCGTATTCAATTACCTAGGCTACATAAAAATTTATAACACGTTGGGTAACAATTTTTGTTTTTATGTGTTAGGGGCATAATAATGGAAAACCGCGAAATACTACCGCAAGAAAAATATGACTTTTATAAATACAATTTCACACAATTCAGTAAATATTTGTGCATAGTTAAATTCATAAAGATGTGTGTGGGTGGATGTGTGTATATACACACACACATTTCTCTAACAATACGAAATAATAACGAATATTGTAATAAATTGCGGATAAAACGAGAGCGAAACTCACCGGCAACACAAGCAATGGCGAATACAAGGCACTTTGTGTACGAGACCTTGACAGTAGTGACGCACTTTCGTCGTCTTAGTGAGAGAAAACAGAAATAACAAATTTAAAAGCTTTAAAATATAGTCAAAGTTAAAACATTTAGTTCATCTAGTAGATCGGTTAAAAGAACAATGTTTAAACTTTGACTATATTTTAAAGCTATTAAATTTGTTTGTTTTTAGGGCACATGATTGTTGGTAACCAAAAGCAATTTAAATTAAAGAATGATGGTGAAGAATTAGAAGTATATTATTTCCAATCATAAAACCTATTTATCAAAATTAATTGTAATGAAGGTATAATCAAGAATTTTATGAAGAAATTAAACTAAAACCAAAGTTTCGTTAAACAATTTTTTTATTTTTTTTTATTTTTATTTTTTTTTTATTAATCAAAAAGCACAATTTGTTTGTTTTTATACTGAAAATAAAGAATAATTTTTTTACAATTTAAAAATTGGTACAAATCTCTCCCTCAAAAAATAAATTATACATTCAAAAGTTCTTCTACACAATCAAAAAATAAAATATTTTAAATATTTAAAACATAAAATCAATTGAGTTTTTATCTTCTCATTTAAATACAAGGTGACTTGATTAGCTCTCCAGTCGCTTTGTTGCTTCTGAAATCAGGACACAACTTTCAAGCGAAGCAAAGAATCGGATGCAGTTTAAATGACAATGATACCCAATTCCAGATCTGTGAACTGATTTAAACTAAATTAACAATCTTAAAATAACCATACAAAACATAATATTTCTCTTTTTTTATTTTTTTTTAATCACCCATGAGTAATGAAATGATAACTTTCATGTTTTTTTTTTCTTTTCAAACAATCTTATAACACATTCTCCTTCCAAAATATACAAAAATTTTTTAGAACAGAAGATATCCTTGCTCATTGCAATGTTTTTAGAACAGGTAATACAAGCATATCTAGATACTCAAAAACCAAGATAACAATCAAACTGGAATTTAAAAAAATACAAGTTCAAACAATTATTTTTGTTATCACAGTCCTAAACTTCATGGAATGTCAGTGCCAGAGTAGAAGTAGTTTGTCTTTCTGTGTAGTCCAAGTAGCTTCAGTTGCAAGTGGATGTGTAAGTTTAGTGTGTGGGCCCATGTAGTGTCAAAAGTGAGAAAGGTGTCAAAGTCAGTGTAAGTGTAGAAGTGATTGTCGTAAGTAGTGAAGTGCAAGTGTAGTATGAAGACTTAGGGTTGTGATACCTATGGATTACCTTTTTACCTTTGATGAGTTTGTATTACCTCTTCTTTTTACATTTTCTTTGCATTCACAAACACAAAAAGGAAAAAAATTTACAAAGGAGGTAAATTCACAAGTCTTTACGAAGGTATAAACAAAAAAAATTAACTCTTGCAATGAAGTTTGCTTTAAACATCCCTTAAAAAAAATCTTCAATTAAAATAGAAGTACACTCACATACCCTTTAAGACATAAAATAATACAATATCTCTTTTTTTCTTACCAAACTCAGTTATCAGTTTTACCTCACATTCATTGTGAATACTTTATTTGTATCCCTGTTTTAACTGAGATATATTTACTTTCTTCACCACTGCTAAATCTGAAATGCTCTGTATTAAAACAGTCACAGGATTAACAAAGTACAAAATCTTAAATGGTCCCATAAATCTAAGGTCAAGTTTGTTTTGGTACTTATCTATCTTTTTAGACAGTTTCTTATTTTCTAAGTACACTTTCATACCAACCTTAAATGGATGCTTAACTCTATCATCAGAGTAACGTTGTCTATTTTTATTTATCTCTACAGATTTCTTTAAATTTTTGATTGCAATCTTTACCTTACTTCTTATCTCATCAGGTGTCAGTTTTTCACTTACCAACTCATTTATGTTCCATAAATTGGACAAAGCATGGTTTGGTGGGTGATTAAACATAACTTTAAAAGCACTTTTTTAATACTTTCATTGTATGCTGTATTAAATCCCTGCTGTAATAAAGTTAAATCATTGTCCCACTCATTATGTTTGTCATAGTAATAGGCTTTTAATGTACTCTTCAAATTTCTTAAGTACCTCTCAGACCTATTTCCACTTGGCTTATATGGAACTAATTTGTGGTGAGCTATTCCATATTAAAAACAAAAATCCTTAAATTCATTACATCTGAAACGGCTACCATTGTCAGACACCAAATACTTACAGCTACTAAAATTCTTAAAAATAACATTGTCGATCATATTTACAACACTTGAACCTTTACTGTCTTTTAGTGGAATCAACCATGTATACTTTGATACATCATCAACTGCAATAAGAACATTGTTATTGCCCTTTTTTGATCTCACCAATGGACCAAAAATGTCTATATACAATTTTTCCATAGGTTGTGAAGCATGTGTAGCAATTAACTCACCTTCATATTTTCTTTGTACGGGTTTTGCAATCGTACATATCTCACATTTTCTTACTCTTTCTTTTTGATTAAGTTTATTAAGTCCGGTCAGTAAAAACTTTCACAAACTTTGTCTAGTGTCCGTTTAATACCTGGATGTCCACCTAGAATGCTTACATGAAAATAATTAAAAACCATATCCACCAACATTTTTGGTAAGTAAATTTTTTGCTTTGCTCTTTCATGATTCTTATACATTAAAACACCCTTACTTAAATAATATTTACAACCATTTACACCATTGTTTAAGGATTCAATTATTTTTAGAACCTCACTATCATTCTGCTGATGTTCCTGAATTTTAATGTCTATTGCTTCTTTTGTTGCTGTGTAACAATTGTTATTATTATTTGAGTCAATTGTAAAACTTTTAACACATTTGCTAGCCTTTAACTTGTTAAACATACTTTCATTCATAATGTTAACTGAGCTACCTGTATCAATAAGTACAATTTCTTTTACTTTAGAATTAAATTTGACTTCTAACTTTGGTAATTGACACCTCAAACTACTTTTTTGCCATGCTTTGTAATTTAAATTATTTAATCTCCTCTTGACCTTGAAAAATTCTTTCTTCAATTTACTTTTTTCATCTAACTTCTTCTTATTATTAACTTTTACATTCTTGGGTTTGGGGAAGCAGGGAAAGATCCTCTCCCCTTTCCTATCACGTTTTTTGACTCTTGGTTGTTAAAATTGCTTCTCTGACCGTGAAAACAATTTTTAGCGATATGCCCTATTCTGTTGCAGTTATAAAATTTTCTTTGATCTTGTAAATTGTTTACAAAATGTCTCTTACTATTTACTGATTTTCTCTCAAAATCACTAAATTTAACATTTTGCACATGAATACACATTTGATCTATTTCTTCAAAATTTTTAGGGTCACTCATGAATACTAGTCTAGCCCTATCTTCCTGGTTTATACCTAGTTTGATTATCTCAACTAGGTCTGATTCACTATAGTCTAAGTTTAAGACCTTAGCACTTTCCCTGTTTTCCATTGTATACACTGATAAAGGCTCGCATATTTTTTGTGACTGATATTTTTGAATGACGACAACAACATCACACCAAACTCCCATAACATCACAGACAGTCCATCAGTATTACAAAATCAACTCCTCACAATCATCACACCACAGTCAGAAGTAACATATCTAAATAGCTTGATTTCAACAGTTATGAACACCCACCCTTACCCGTCCGAAGAAGAGAAAGGTCAATTGAGATTGCCTAGTGTGTATCTAGACGCCCTTCTGAAGACCTCCCACTCACCCAAAAAGACAACATCTCCGGAAAGTGATAAGAAAGAAAATACTTCTAAGGACACAAAAGAAAAGGAGAAATAAACGTAAATAAATACTCGATCTCTAGTATGTAGTGTAGTAGTAGTTCCTTGACAGAAATGATTCTTGCCATTTCAGTATACGTAGACTTAATAAAAAAAAAAAAAAAATGTAACAAAACTTTGGTTTTAATTTAATTTCTTCCTAAAATTCTTGATTATAGCTTCATTACAATTAATTTTGATAAATAGTTTTTATGATTGGAAATAATATACTTCAAATTCTTCACCATCATACTTTAATTTAAATTGCTTTTGGTTACCAACAATCATAGACTAACCAACACAAGTAGTCTTCTCATCCCATTGTAAATTTTGAAGCACGTTTTTCGTGTCTAGTTCATGTACGTGACACATGGGCGCTAGTGTCGACGAAACTTTGTTTCTATTATTTTAGGGTTAATTTCTTGATTTGTGCTGTACTGTTTGGTTATATAAACACGACCTCTACATAAACCGTACAGAACTAACAATAAAATTGTCTTCAGCTGTTCCATAAGGATGAGAAATCTACTAAGGGAGTATGTTTTATCTATGCAACAATCATGTGCCCTAAAAACAAACAAATTTAATAGCTTTAAAATATGGTCAAAGTTTAAACATTGTTCTTTTAAACGATCTACTACATGAACTTAATGTTTTAACTTTGACTAAATTTTAAAGCTATTAAATTTGTTTGTTTTTAGGGCACATGAGTGTTGGTAACCAAAAGCAATTTAAATTAAAGAATGATGGTGAAGAATTTGAAGTATATTATTTCCAATCATAAAACCTATCTATCAAAATTAATTGTAATGAAGCTATAATCAAGAATTTTAGGAAGAAATTAAATTAAAACCAAAGTTTCGTTACAATGCAACATCCCAAGACGAAAATTACCCGAGCAGGGTGATGCCGAACAAGTTGTGTTTTGACAGTTCCCAAGTGTCAGCTGCAAAAATCGTGCCGCGCCTAAAATTCATTTGATTTCTAATCGTCGTGACATTGTTATATTACATGCTACAGGGTTTGTTTATGTAATAAAATGAAATTCAGAATGTGATCTTTCGCATGTTACATATAGCCTATTGTTCAATCAGAGTTGATTATAAGCGGTGTTTTCACCGTTTAAAAAAATGTCGGCCCATACTAGCGTACTACGCTGGTGGCCACTCTAGGCGTCACGGCGAACGAGCGTATTACGCTCGTTGGCCACTGCTAGGGTTAACTAGGCCTAAATGTTGTCGAAATATGGTATCAGCAAAAATTCCCTGCATCAGATGGTACCGGATATGACGTCAAATTCGAGCCATCAGCGTTGACGAACGAAGCCACGGCAATCTTCAGGAACTGGAATTGTGAAAAGTGTCAAGTATCTTATTACTGCACAAGAGTTAATGAAATAAAAGTACATGTAAATGTTCACAATTTATACAACCCTCCACCCACCCTTGTCCATGTTTTATTTATGGTGTGTGGTGTCATAAACGTGTGTCGGACACAAAGCTGGTTCCCCAGGACACTGGGCACAAATTTACTCGGTTCTTGTGTACTTGTGGCCATTTGCATAGCACATCTTGCACCTTTTTCAAGCAAGATTACCCTTTTTGCATCCCTTTTGGCCTAGCGAACCTACTATATATGTCTATGCTATTTATATAGCGACAACTGACATCTAATGTAGCCTAAGCTTTAGATTATAACTTCGACACATTGCTGCAAGCCTTTCCCCTTAAGTCCCACTCTGCCTGGCCTTTCACTTAAGTTTTGGTTTCCACTTGAAGCTTGCCATTATCATTTCACATTTCTTGCCTAGCTTAAGTATAAACCCTAAACCTAGTCTTGTTACTATCTATCGACCTTTTATTAAATTGTAATTAATAAAATTAACTTAAAGATCTGAAATGTATAATAGTGTTTAAAAGCACAGAGTTTATTACCACTGAAATTTTTTAGTGATTTACTCTTTTTGGTAACTTGTTCCTTTGACTACTGTATAACTAAATAGGCCTACAAGACATCCCATTCCCATTCAAAAGTTGTCACCAGTTTTCTAAATCAAAATCGTCGTAGTTCTTGTGAGCCATCGATAGATTGCGCTGATCTAAATCACTAAATTTCTGTTGAATAGGTATACAAAATTTTTAACAAAGTCAATCTAATGTATAATGACTTATGGTGAGCTAGGCCTATAGCAACAACTGTTAACCTTGTAAACTTGAACTGTTAACCCATCAACTTGGTCAGCAACAATAAAAAAGGTAGAAAGTGGAATTTTAAGACCCTTATTCATTCTGAGACTGGCTCATATAACTATGGGATGTCTACTTCAGTACCGGTATCCAATAGTCAATGCCTGTACACAGCACCATAGACAAAAAAGGAATAAATATAGGACTGACTATAAAGGACTGTCATCCGTGCTACGGTTACCATAGGTTCTGGTCACACCGCTGGGAGCGCCGTGTAGTTATGTAGCGTGTATGCCGTAACTATATGGTGCTCCCAGCGGTGTGCGCCAGAACCTATGGTAACCGCAGTACCACTGACGGTACCAGTATATATTTAATTCTTTTTGTCTATGACAGCACCCAGTAAATTAGGCCGGACTTAAATAAATCATTATTTTAGATGTTGCCTTGTGCCCTATTATTTTAGCGCAAAACTAATTATAATATTGAACTAAGTAAGAATATTAATAAGAAGGTAGAAGAAAAGCTTTTACTTAAATTTTTAGGTGGAATGTAACTGATTTTTATATATTCCGTTTATAACCTATGCTTACAGTATTCACTATCCTAAATTATTTATTTATTCCGTTTTTATTAATCTTGTAAATGATTTTAAAATGCTCATAAACTATCACAGTAAAAATGTTAACTTAGTTTACTGTATCCTTTCATTTTCTGGAATCATGAATCCTCTTCTATGCAGTCACGGGGACTTGTGAATCGTCCAGAAGTGTGTTCATGGTTGAAGATCCTTATTAAGTTAATCTACAGTTTCTTCCCTGTTGAAATATTTTGAAAGAAAACCTTAAATTTCAAATAATATTTTATCTCTATTGATTGCAGGCTTGACTGTAGCAAAGATACAACATGTCTATTGGAGTACCCATCAAAGTCCTACATGAAGCAGAGGGACATGTAATTACATGTGAAACCATGACGGGTGAAATTTACCGAGGCAAGCTAGTTGAAGCAGAAGACAACATGAACTGTCAGATGACAGGCCTCAGTGTTACGTATCGTGATGGAAAAACCGCAACTGTAGAGAATGTTTACATAAGAGGATCAAAAATTCGATACCTAATACTTCCTGACATGTTAAAAAATGCTCCTATGTTCAAAAGAGCAGGGAATAAAGCTTCCAGTTCTGGAGCTGGTGAGTTAAAGATAGTCAATAATTTAACAAGTGTTAAAATAAGCCAATATTACAAATTTTCTTTTTTATATTTCTTACAAATATGCCAAATGTGGTTGTAGCCGATTTTTTCAAGTTCTCTCTTGCTGCAAAATAGTTTTTACTGTAGAGAGATTTTACCAGTTTGGGATTGGAAGTGTGTGGCTAACTGATTTTTTTCAGGTAATCGGTCGTTTACGGGAAAAATAGAATCAGCAACAACATTTCAACTTTGATTGATACATTTTTTCGCCTCATTTTATGAGTTTAATAGGGATTGCACAGTGTCTGTTTTGCTTCTTTTAAAATTAGTAGCCTATGGAAGAGGAGGACACAGTTATTTTTTTGGCTTTTGTTTTGGTTGAATATGGACGTTTTGTGTTGAAATACACGATGAAAGACGTAAAAAGGCATAACTCAGAAAAAATAATTAGCTAAATAGAGAATATAATTTAAAAAAAAACTGTCAATGGGGTTAGTCACATAACCATCACATAATTTTTTATAGTTTTTGATGGTAGCTCTCTCAGCAAGAAGCTCATTCAACTTCATAAATGTCAAGTTATATTGAATCAATAGTTCATTCAATAAACTATCCTCAATCCCGAATTTTACAAAATTGCAACATCAGTTCCAAATGGAATGTCCACTGCAGTCTCCTATAAAGTCGACTACATAAACTGGTGCTAATGTTGTGATTGTTGTAGGACGTGGCAAGTCAGCCATTCTGCGTGCACAGGCAGCTCGAGGTAGAGGAAGGGGAGGCCCATCACAGAGAGGGCAGGGTCGACCCAACTGGCAGGGCGGCAGTGGTGGGGGCGGTCGTGGTGGACAAGAACGCCGCTGAAACTACCAACCTTCTATTCAATAATCTAGATTTTAAGAATGTTGATACTGTTCCTTTAAAAAATGTTGTTTATTGTTTCTGCTCAGTAATTAATTTTCATTAATTTCATTTACAGTTGACACAACGTTAATTGAAATCTGTTATTTTTAAGAAGTAATTCCATTGCCCTTGTAAACATTTGTGTTCGTACAATTTACAGTAATTTTGTATTAAAATGTGTTTCTTATGATAAACCAATTTAAATGTCTTTTCTTAGTCCTTTTATTTTATAAGAAGGTAAAATATTACTGTAGAGCATCTTTTGAAGTGTCAAGGGCATTTAGTTTCATTATGCAAATTCATTGACAAAGTCAATGGTAAATGTCATCAGTCAGTGATAAAGTTTACTATTTATACAACCGAATTGGCTTGTGTCAAGCCTTCTCAATAATTCTATAATCATAAATTAAAGTCATGACGTTTAAAAATGTCTGTTAGTTCAAGCTGATGTACATTTCTTGCTTTTGGAGTTAAAGTAGGGTATACAAAAATCACTTGCAAAATTGAAATGCCTTTAGATTGTCAAGTTGGCATAAAGTATAGGTATTTTAACTTTGATCAAATACTTAACATGTAACTAAAGTTGGTTGTAATTTCTTGTGTGCAGTTGGATTGTCTAAAAGTCTCCACAAAATTAATACCTATAATCAGTGTTCGATTTGTAGTAATTGAGGTGCCGGAACTGTAACCTATTTATTGTGGTTAGTACCTAATTATGCCAATATTTTTATCTCTCCGAAAGAGAGGTACCGGAACTCCGTGCCGCCGCGTTTCCCCGCAGATCGAGCACTGTCCATAATAAATCAACATGTGAATATTATACAAATCTGAGAAAAATCATGAATGCTTCAATGTTACAGCTTTGTCCATCTGAGACTGCCTTGACTGTGAAAACTTGGTATTGTCTTGATGGTGATTGACACCTAATTGATAAATGTTCCTGGTTTTTATTTTGACTTTTTGATTGAATAGACTTTAAAATAACTTTCATCCAAATGACATTAAGCTTAAAATAAGCAACATAGCCATTTTGGCAACCACAATAAAGCCTTATTGTCATCCGATCAACAGTGACCGCTCTTGTAGACATTTTTTAGCACACAGACAACAAGAATGAAATGGTAAAACAGACAAGTACATCATAAGACCAGAGACTATTAATCATTTGGCAAATACAATATTGATATTGTCATGGAATATATTTGTGAGAATTCAAGTCACATATAAAGGTATTTAAAAAAATCTACATCAAGTAAAAAACAATAATTTTTTAGGCATTTTTAATTCAAAATTACGATAGATAAAGAGTCATTTTAGGAGTGCTACCGGTACACTATAAATAGACTAATATAAACGAAGCAAAGCATTATTGGGTTTGATCCAAACTCCAAACAATTAAACGAAAGGGTTCCCCCAAGGCTCAATCTTAGGACCTAAATCTTAGGATCTAAATGCTTTGTTTACAGCTGATTCCCTAACCAGGTCAGTGAGTTTTCGAAGCTGTGTGTTTGTAGATGACGATGACACCGAATGTACCAATGCACACAACACTATTACCAATACACTGCCTTCAATATTACCAGTGCCAATTTTGAAACCTCTCTATCTCCAAAACAAATAAATTTAAGGAAATCAAAATTTGAATATTAGCAACATAAAATTCTTGAGAAATTGATATAGGGGGTTTGTTTTAAACCCACGCTGAATACAATCCTCCTGCATACGATTAGCTGATTACCTTCTTCCTCACGTATACCAGCTACGCTATAGAACCCACCTCGATCAGGAACTGTTCTGGCCTCAATTGAAACTGACCGTACCTGAGAAACGCCATGTTAAATAGTTAAGGGTCTCAAATGAACACCACTAGGTGAGATCACTTTTGGGCTTGCGGATATTAGGAGATAGGACTTAATATTTACATGAGACTGGGCGCCCCCCACTCCTCAGCGTCCGAATCTACTGATCAAAATACTTATTACACAGATGCAACTGCAAGTGCAGGCTAACTAAAGGCTTAATCAAAGCTTCAAACATTTTTCTAGCTAATTGTATAGAGTGTGGGTACACATTTTTAGATTTAGCTATACCAGTGAGTGAATACACATACTTTATTATACTAGTGTACATGTTGCTCGAAATCGAGCAATTGCAAAGAAGTACAGGAGTTATTTATAAACAAATAACTTGTTTAAAAACTAATAACAGTCATAATTTCCGATGATTTTAAAAGAGTCAACTAAAAGATTATTAACTAATGGAAATACTCACAATTTACATAACAGTCCTATTCCAGTTTAAAGGGTTTATTTTTAACAATTAAACTGCCCATGGACGGGAAAAGGTAAGCTTACAATCTAAGTCAACGTAAAAAGTCTGCCAGCTTTTATCCTAAGTTATTTAGCCAATTTGTAGACAATAAAGTGTAAGATACTTTAAACTCTTCAGGACAGAGTTAGGCAAAAACTGGCAGAACTCTGAAATGGTGTTATTTATCATAGGCTTACTCATAGGCCAAATCCTTAAAATAAAAATTCAATAACTAATAACTTATATAATTAAACACCCAAAACTATGCACATTTTTAATGTAGATAATTTACACATTGACTGTTTACAATTAACGTTCTTCTCACTATTAACTTTGCTTCGCAAGGGGAAAAATCTGTTTCATAATCATTGAAATAGATTTATAATAAATAATCTATCATAAAGTTTGAGATTAAATAAACCTACCACATAGTTGTTTAATTTTTTTGGATCAGCTGTCTGAAATTTTGAAATAGGCATTTGTCAGTTCTGGTTGTTTACATTTAAATGTCAAAGCAAATGTAAACATTGTCAATTTTCTCATGCTTCCATGGAGACCAATTATTAATATTTAATTTCTGACACCAGCTGGAGTTTCAAAACAATGTTTTTCCCATGTTAATCTTATGGAGAAATACGAAACTTTAAAGGGCCCCAGGGCCTCGCTCTCTAATTATTTCCCTAAAAATAAAGTTTCCTGCACAACTTCACGTTACACTCTTTCCAATGACACCAAAAACATGTCAATCGGTTCAGTAGTTTCGGAGGAGTAATCGTCACAAAAATCCTGCTTGCGTATTAAATAAGTAAAAATATAGATTCAGGGAGTCAATCTTGACTCTTGCTTTGCTTGTGAAGCAATGGTTGACTATGACATTCTTGTAATAGAGTCTGCCCCTTCCCACCAATCAAGGCTGATAAATTTGTTTTTGATACTCTTCTATGAAATTAATTTTGATATCCAAATGGATGTGTATGTGCAACGAATTCAGAGAAAATAAATGTACACACTGGCTTCACAAGTCATGTCTTAGAATCATTGCTTAATATACTCATACAAATGTTAGTTCTGGAATTTTAAGAAAAAAAAACTCGTTCTGAGTCTGTAGTGATCATAGATAAAGGGTCTTGCACCAAGTGCAACTATCAAAGACGCTGTGATTGATAGTACGCTCTTGCCTAGAAGTTACTTAATACTTGAATACTTGTAGTTTCCGTCCGTAGTCCAGGGCAGGAATTGGACAGGTCAATAGGTTAGGTATAATAGGCTAATAATAAAAAATAACTTATAAGGAAGATCACATCCTAGGCCAAAGGGCTCTGTTTTGTGAAATTTAGAAAATCTTCCACATCATAAAAACCATTTTTTGTCAGGAAAGATTTGATTTCTGTTTTGAGTTTTGAGATTTTTTGAATGTTTTGAAGTTGTTTTGGCAGTGCTTGGAAAAGTTTTAAACCGGAATAGTGAGGTTTTTGTTCAAACAATTTTAGTCTGTGTTGTTGAGCATGAATTCCTTTGTTTCTAGTGTTTTATTTGTGATCTACGAAATGAGGTTGAATGTGTTGTGATTTTATGTATGCTACTGCTTCGTAGATGAGTATGCATGGGACAGTAAGAGTCCAAGCTGGATGAATGCATCTCTGCAGCTGGCATCTGGTGGCATGCCTAGGATGGTTCTTATTGTTTTTTTTGCCAGACAAAAACTGTTTCCAAATTATTTTTGGTAGAAGAACCCCACAAAATGATGGAATATGAAATGAACTGCTCGAACAGTCCGTGATAGACGAGCCTGGATAGAGCATCGCTGCCGTATGACCTCATCCTAAACCAACCGCATGGTAAAAAGCATTAAGCGGTTTGAGAGAGCTTTGCCTGTCAATCCGTAGGCAGCGCCACCAGCGTTGCTATGCTATTGCATGGCAACGCTGGTGGCGCTGCCTATACGGATTGACAGGCAAAGCTCTCTCAAACCGCTTAATGCTTTTTACCATGCGGTTGGCATTCTGGGTTATAGTAGTACGTTTTCTGTGATTCTACGTAGAATGAATAGTCCTCGAGCAAGCGATCTCTCTAATCCATAAATGTGCTCGCTCCATCTGAGTCTATCATCCAGCCTCACCCCTAGGAAGTCAGCCGTTTTGATTGTTCAATTTGATTCTCTCCTATAAATAGGTTCGGAGTCCTATTATTTTTGGAATTTTGCTTTTGTGCTGTTTGAAAACACAAATAGTTCGTTTTCTGGGAATTTAAACTGAGTTTTTTTGCTTCAAAAAATTTAGAAAGATCTGAATTTTTTCATTTGCTTTGCCCTCCAGAGTCTCAACATCCTTACCCTTCATGACCAATGTTGTATCATCGGCAAAGAGGTAGACATCAGACTCTGGAATCGCATTGGTGATGTCATTAATGTAAACCAAGAATATAGGAGAGGTCCTAAGACGGATCCTTGCGGAACTCCGCTTGTGATTTTTTGAGGAGTCGACATGACATTTTTAATTTTGTGATTTGATTTTCCTCTAATTTCAGTAATTTGGTATCGGTTTGTCATGTACGACTCAATCCATTTGAAAACAATTCCGAAAATGCCAATTGAAGCCAATTTTCCCAAAAGAATGATATGATCAACACAGTCGAATGCTATTTACAAGTCGGCGAAGCAACCCACCACTGTCTCCCCAGCCTCAACCGCATCAATACAATCATTAACAAAATCAATGAGAGCCAATTTTGTGGATCTGTTTTTTCTGAAACCATATTGTCTATTACAGACAATATTGTTTACTTAAATGAATTAATTCAGTAAGTTGATCCAAAACAACTTTTTCGATTAATTTTGAGACTGACAGAAGAAGCGAGACTGGACGATAGTTGCCCGGATCGGTTCTGTC